ACTAATTTTACTGGTTCACTAAATTTCTCCATACACACAAACTCTGATATCTGACAAAATTATACATCTTTTCAGCTATGGTTTGTGATTTGTCAAACGGAATAATACTTTGCCGTGAAACGTTACTTTTCCTCACACAGTGTAAGATGTGAGAGTCCTCCGGTCAGTCCGGATGGTTTTTTGTGTTTCGATGAGGGCTCTAATATCGTGCTTTTCACCGGAATCAGACGAAGCATTTTGATTTTATTTCAAAGTTTGAAGTTGGCACATTTCCCCAGGATGGATTGTTATGCAACATGTTTAAACTCTGATTTGATACCCCAAGGGATTATTGCTTTCATTAGGAAAAACGTCTCTGTCTGAGACCGGTCATTTAATATTGTCCCGTGTTGCTCTTCTCCACAGAGACCATCGGTTGATATTTGCATTCGACTGCAAAGGTAACTAAGAAGGCCAAACCTAAGTTTACGGTTCCCGGCTCATTGCTCGAATATACCCATTGTAGTCATGAGAACGAAGAAGGTAGCGAACAAAGCTTGTTTTCTGTGATTGTTCATCTTGGCTAATACATCACAAATTTATATGGTAGCAGAAATCACGTGGAAAAGGTTAAGATCGGGGCTACACTTTAGAGAAATAGAAGTCAAAGGAAGGGGGTTGGGTGAGGGGTAGGTCAATGGGTCGTGACGTCAATGTCAGACAGGCCTGTGGGACCAGTGCAGGAGACGTCAATGTCAGACAGACCTGTGGGGCCAATGCAGGGTTGACTGACGATGTCACCTCGATTGGTGATGAAACGTTTGCAATCCAACTGCCAAGCTCGGCGAACAGACCAACAACCAAACAACGCACCCGATTTACCTACATTCCACAGAATACTTGGTGTCTCGATTATACACGGTGCCCTGAGTCACTCTTCGAAGCTCTTCGTTCCCAACCTACTAGGGTTTTCTTGGCAATGATTTGAATGGCCGTTTTGTGGAATGAATATGTATATGAATGTTCAACAGAATATGACTTTGGCATAAACTTTTGATCATGGATTCGAAACGGCATTAGCAGGTAGATCAGCGGTTTGATACCGTTCTTCAGTTCCTATTCAGTTCTGGTCAGACACCCCAACAATTGTAATAGGATGAAGCCACTGGAATGTCTCCTACCAGCGCCTAGTTTTCAGACGAAAGTTTAGTACTACATGCTTTCTGTCCCGTTGACAATTTTTTTTAAAATTAACAATGGGCCTTTGCAAACTAAACATGCAATAATGATAAATACAGTCATGGTTAAACACACCGGAATCCAATCATTTTTTGCTCTAGTAGAGTGATCGTTTTCCACATCTTGGTCACACAAAACAGCAAGCAACATAAGCTTACACACACTGAGATGAAGAGGGCATAAAAGTGGCCTTACACCACCTAACTGAGGTTAAAATGGTCCAAAACCTAGTAGTTTATGGCTCCGACCCTAGTAATATTGCAGAACAAACTATGAGTCTCCCGTTGACTTTGCCTTAGTTGTATGGTGTTGTGCAAGGCCAAGTAGATTGTCCAGATTAGTGATCGTCTGGTAGAAATTTTACTAGATGGATGGTATGCGTCTTTCTGCATTTAGGCCTTGCATTCCCAACAAAATTTTGAGCAATGTACTTAGATTTTCCTCTTTTCAAAACGATCTGCTTACAAAAGGTGTCACTTGAAATGTGACATGAATAATGTATTTCTCCACTCTTTTGTTAGCAGTAGGCCACTCCCGGCATCTGAAGTGCATTACTGGCCACGTTATGGTAAGTGCATCCTGAAAGCGAAGATCATTCATGCCGAAAAACTGGAAAGCACCCAACAGTGGATCATGAGCAGCGAATTTCTCACAACTCTCAGTTAGCTCAAGCGCGTTATCTCCCAGAGAGTAGAGAGCTTAATTATTTGTCGATAAGATTTTGGCAGCTCTAAAATGGTGAAGGCTAAAAAGCGCTGAATCCAAGCGTTTTTCAGTTAATTCATCCTTTTGATATGAAGATGACGGAGGCACGTTGCTCACGGATTTGTACCACAGGAACAAACTTCGTACTTTTTAAATTAAAAGCCACATCAACTGGTGTATCTGGACGTGCTTGTAAATCACGGAAGACACACAGGCGTCAGTTCAAAATAATCTTAACTTAGGGAAAGTAACCGAATCACTACGAAGTTTAACACGATTTCCACCCGTCTGTGAACTACAGATCATGGTAGATTTTCTTTCTGTTGGATTGTCAGAGACTTATTGAGTAACTGGAATAATTCCAGTTCGATCAGAGTAGGAAGGGAATAGTATGCACATCATGCTAACTAAGATCAGACACATCAGTTTTAAAAGTAACCAATCCACTAATATGTGATTCTTCTTTGAGGCTTTGTAGACGCTTTAATCTTGATGAAGACGGAGATACCGACTTATTCCCAAGGTGATCTTCCGAAGGTGTCATAAAAGTATTTCGGTTGTAAGAAGATATGGAGAGTGCCATGCCCAACTTGCTCAAACGTAGCAAACAATATAAACGATATAGAGGAAAATGTTGGTAGTTCAAGTAGCGTAGATGGTCGATGGTTTGCTTGCTGAGCTTGGCAATTTGATAGAAAACGCTTCATCACCAATCGAAGTGACATCATCAGTGCGTTTTTAGGGAGAGTAGTGGTGCGTAGGGATGAGTTGGCGGTCGTGGACAACTAATGACCATTGTAGACGCTTTCATAAATTTAAGTTCCTTGGAACTGCGGTTAAAAGGTCTCGGTAAATCTTGCGGGACCATGAAGCTTGTGTTAGTTTCATCGTTGGAGGAAAGTAAAAGTGTATTGTCATAGTGAAAATACACAAAATACACGAAACGCTTCTTTCCATTCGTGAGAGACACTAAATATTTGGAAACCAGAACAGTGTTTCAATTTGAAAAATTTCACTTGCATTCTTCGCAGATCGACTGGCAAGAGAATAAAAGCCTATCAGTTTTTTGTTTAAAACAGAGAAGCAGCTACGATATTTATTTTGCTCTCCTCCATTTTACCTCCAAAATCATGCACTGTTTGATCTTTTAATTTATCTTTTCTGAATATGGAAAAGACAACCACAAGGCGCATCTTAACCTCCAATCGGATTCTCGGATAAACCTTTACCGTGGAAGCTCAGTGGACTAGCCCTTTTAAATCAGGGAACATTTGAACATCAATTTGACATTGTGGACGAACAATGTAGAACCAGCAAACATCAAATAATACTAGAACCATTTCAGATATTTTGTTTCATACAATCTGCTTCAAACTGCACAGTTGTTTTGGATTCCGAATCGATTTTCATCTTTTTAAATCGGTAAAAGTAACAACTCAGTGTTCCCCCGTACATCGACTGAATGGGATTCCTGACGCGAAACCACAGAACTCTGTCCTGTAGGCAAAAAAACGCAAGAAAAATACCGTCCCAGTACATTTTTTAAGTTGCGGGAAAAACAGTTATACTTTGTCCGCTTCTGTTGAATGGCTGCCGGTATTCATGAAAAACAACCCCAAGACTGTGTGCAATTTAGACACGACTAAATAAATTCATAAATGGAAAGGGATTGCTGACATAATCCAAAATATTCAATGTACGAGTTCACATCTGCTAGCAAGCGCATTTTTCAGAAGAAATAAGAAGTAATATACTGCATAATCGTCAGCTGACTAAGGGGTCACATAAGAACTCAGGTCAGAAATGCCTGTTGTGCCTAATGGAAACAATATCACTGCAATGGTTCATAGTGCCATCGTTATTGGTCGCTCCGTAAACCATACTAACAAGAGCAATCTAAAAAACTTTTTCCTCGTACCAGGAACCACCAGTGAAAAGGAATGTCTATTTTTTCCTGAAAGAATGAGTTACCAATTTTTTCCACATTCTCCGGCAGTCGACCACTTTAGATCCGGTGTAACAGCGGGACCTGAATTTTGCTTCAGTTAACTGTCGTGTATCATCGAAAAGTACTTCTTAATATACATGTAATTAAAAAGATAGCTGAACTGCAGGCTCTTCAATGAATGTTCCACTCCTTATACCACCAAAAATAAGCTTCCGACAACCGCCTGTTCAATGAAATGCCATTTGTCTTTGGCAACCAAAATTATAACGTAACAAATCCTCTTACTTGATAGTTTCCAAGGAGGCAATATGCTGCTCAACTTTCTGCTGCGTCCTTGCTGAAACCGAGGCCGGAAACTGGGTGTATAACATAAAGAACAGTCAAGCTCATATCTGTCTCGTCCCTCCGCTTTTGTACATCCATACTTAATATGATATATAAATAGAAGACCCGTCACGACTTCCAAGATTGTGTTTACGACGATCTCCTCGAAAGCAGCAACACGGATGTGATCACTTGAACGTTATTCCTAACGTACGACGTTATTTAAGATTCGGTCAATTTGGCTAAGGGCAGTTTTCTGTAGAGGAAATATAATTGTCTCAAATTTACGCGAGCAGATCAGAAGTTTGGTATCAGTCTCATTGCGTTTTTCCAAAATGAGTCATTTTAGAAGCCTAATATTTTCCTGCAATTCCCGCACCCTGTAGAAGCTCAGGGTAATCTTCTGTTTCACAGAAGGTACAGACTGGCTTCTATCGTAATGCGCACTGGCATAATAAAGACTGACACAAGAAGCCGATGACTGTCTACTATAAATCAGTACTGCCGTTTTTATAAGTATAAAAGCTATTCACCAGTGAAAAGTTTGAACTATTTCGTTGACACCAGTTCCCTTTCAACCGCGATGAACCAGGGATTGGAAACCATACCAGTGTTTGTGTGCAAGTATCATTCAGTATACATTCAGTATACCCACAGGTGCAAATTGCTCGGCATCCAGGAGAGCTTAGGCTCCGTGACTTTGGGTGCATTTGAGTAGCACTTTTAAGGACGGGAAAACCCCTGGTTCATTGTGGGTGTGCAACTGAAGAAAACACTATTTTACCTAGCACAACTTGGCTAACGTTTGTTTTTGGCGCTTGCTTTTGCATCATGCAAGCAATCAGCCGGCGATTTCTGCGTAGGCCTAAAGGCCTCTTGAGGTTGATATGTATGACATCCGATAGCGTTGATCCCTTCACTGAACACCGAAATAACAAGTTGATTGGTTACTGAGGCACGTGTTTCACGCATATGGTATAAGAGCGAGTACTGCTGATTGATTCGTTTCGATCCACGTATGTGCCAAATTGAGGGACTAGTTGAACTATTTCTACGCAGGGAAAGAACATACAGGAAAAGCTGAATGTGTAAAAGTTGTACTGTTGTGGAAAGTAGGACCGCAACCAAAGAGTCAATGTTCATATGTGAGTGAGTCCCCTGTCGACGGACATCGATGAAAGATATATCCCGGCTCGAAGAGTTTGGCTGAGGTATACCCCAGGTCAAAAACACCTGCAGAATGATGAGCATTCAACAGGCATGACAACTGCTGTTCAGCAAACAGACTTTGAAGTTGGTTTACAAGTACTAGAAACATGTTGTGATCACTATGTGCGTTGCCAATCTACTTTTGAATCTTGGGTTGGAATCTGCCAAATGTTTTGACAGAAGACATCTTTTGGACGATCATTATTGTGATTATTTCGAGGAAATATGGTACGGAGCCGTATCAATGAAATCAGAAATAATAGACGCTTCGAGAACACAGGTTGGATAGGGCCAGTTTAATTAGGTTGATGTAGCAATTAACGAAACGATTTACAGAGATTGAAATAAACCTGCTGCACTATTTTTAGTTCCCGAATTTTGCTGCTTTGAGGCAAGAAGTTGACTTAGTCGTTCAACCAGTACGTTCGTTGCATTTTTGACTTATCCGCTGTTGATATTGTCAGAGCATTCACGATACAGCATTGAATTGTCCATATGCTTATTTAATTGCTTCCCTTGTCACAAAAGCCCTGACTTACCAAACTTGTACGGTCATTTCGATCATGGTCGGTTTCATAATAAACGTGCTGTGCAAAGGGGACAACCTCAGCGCTTTGTGAAATGCATCTTTAAATACATGGTGCGGACAAAATCAGGTAATAGCTCAACGTACACAGCTCTTATCTTGCAGACAACTGACTCCTGTTTATTACCCCTAAAATGATGGGACAGCTTTCTTGTAGTGCCGATATCAACTCCGTTGTGGAACGCAAATCGTGTGTACAGGAGGGCGCATGATTACCAGTCCAGGATAAGATTAGTGGCGCGGATACATATTACACTGATTCTTATCCAGATACCCCCTTAAGATATTCTGAACAGCATTGCAGTGTTCGCCGCATATCGATCCAACACAGATGAAGTGGGTGAATGACATTTTCGGCGAGCTGTTCGCCAATTTTGTACCAATTTTTTTTACCGTACTCGATTAGCCCGGTAATGTTCTCTCTAGTTGTATCCTGAAGGTCTGACACAAGGTTGTGCTAATAAACATTGGTGCTCTTATAAATTGGCCGCAGGAGTGCACTGCAGAACTGTGTTCTCCAACTTTTACCGATGAGACGAGAACGAACGCCCGACTACATAATGACAACGGTATTAGTGTGCACAAAAGACCTTCCAAGGATGAAGGTTCTTTTAGAACATCGGTCTAACTATTGGGTTAACTGCTGATGGTACACGGTTAGGATATACAATGTGAAGTTCTTCGCTGCATGTAGATGTTCAAAGCCATACCTTTATCGTACAGATCCATGCACCCAGAGACACATTGGAACACCGGAAGATACATGCTTTCAAATTCTCTCAGGACAATAAAATATTTTTCTTCATCAACGGTGGTTGCCAAATGTATGTCCCATTTTATAACATTGCGCTAAGCTTCTAAAAACTCAACTCGTTAGGAGAAGACTGGAATTTTAGGCCAGAGTAGCAGCTTAGAAATAAGGCGGAATACATGAAGGAACACCGAAGGACATAAGTCAAAAGTTGCGGATCAAAGGCCAGAGTGAGGGTACTGCAACCCATTTGGACAGAGTACAAGACCAAAACTTGACTTTGTTTAAGTGAAAAAAAGTCACATTGACGAATGCAACTATACCAAGAGGATTCCACCGTCCCGTTACGTTCTTCTGTACCACCTACGAATCATATGTTTCCATATGAAATGTATCCAAATTAGTCTAAAACGCTGGTTTCGTGCAGAATTCTCGGTAGTGACTTCTTCGAGAATCTATATTACGCGAGTAACCAACGTGAAACTCAACCACCCTGTAGTATGCATTTCTCAATGAGCGTCGCTCCAAATTTCGCACTTGTGGTAACTCAGTTCAAGCGAGTATAGTCTAACGGGTGTTTTATTCAAAACAAACCAACACTGATAAATTCACTGTTTGTTTAAGTGCCGTGAGTTGAGATCGCTGGCGCCGTTTTGCAACCATTTTTCGGGAACTGCCATTCCTGATCACGTAGACGATTGGGTTGTAGAGAGCAGACGTCTTGGCAAACAGTCCAGGCAATTCGGTGCCTATCGGTGTCAAGTGGTTGTGATATCCAAACACGGACAATAGAGTGACAACAGCGTACGGGCCCCACGCAACCAAATACATGGATATGAGGACTGACGTTGTTTTGACTGTTCTGAATGACACCTTTCTATAGGCTGCGTACAGGAAGGAAGCAGAAGGGCAACATCGATTATTATTTGTCGTACAGTATGTAGATCATTGCAAGATTAACTGGAAGCCCCAATAATGAGTCCTTTCCAATTTTCATATCTCTACTGGAATTCCAAAGACAGAATGTGTTACAGCTGCAGAGATGAAGCATATGCCGCTGCCCAGTTAATCGACTGTGCGGATTTGTTTGTGCATTAAAGCCTTCATTGAAAAGGCATTCATCAGATATCTCTGTGTCCTGGGGACTTCTCCCAATTAGGTCAGCGGATATAGCCGTTTGTGGATTTGTTCGCAGCCCCCAAGGTTTGATAAAGCGCAATCCGTTGGAAAATTCGACTTCTCACATATCCTTAAATAATCAACACCGATACTGTCTTGTCGTAGCATTCTCTTTAGTGAAAAATTACTTAGACGTTATATTTCCAAAATTTATGGCTTCATTAATTATTAAATAGAGAGACATTCATTCATCAGCCAAAGCCCTGTTCCTAATGCTGCCAATTTTTCACCATACAGAAGCTCTAGCGTTGTGCGTAGCAGACACAAACAAATTGGCCAAATATGGGAAAACTTGAACTTAATTCCACCAACCAGACAGTAAAACCGTGAAATTCATGTAACTTAGTTCATCTTTTAAATCTACCTAATCCCTTAGCAGTTATGTACCGTAATTAGCGATAGCCCAGGTATTGGCATCGTGGGACCGTGTGGATTTCCACTTATTTCTACACATCCCAGCCATCTCACCAACCCTTCAGGCCCAGCTCTCTGGAAATCTTTGGACTGCATCCCCTTAACGGTACCGAGATTCAGTGAGACGCAGCTGCTTTTCAGTGTCCCAATGGCCTAATGTTCTACTGGCCCCAGAACAAACAGAAGACAGCTCTCCCTTCAGTGTTTCGTTTCTCAAAACACATGCGTTGGAGCAGGGCTAGTAGACCATCTCAGCAACTCTCCTTGGTCCCAGCTACCTCATAGAGGGTTTGCGCAACCGCTGAGAGACAATTCCTCAAGGCATAAATCCTTGTGTGCACATATACCAACAAACACGGGTATTTAAGTCCTATCTTCGATCAAAAACGGACATAAGTGCAGATATGTGTAACCTCTTTTGACAAAATGGATCCAGCTGAAGAGTTACATTGTCGTCAAAGTATAACCCAGTGTAACAACGTGAATACACTCCCTCAAAAGTTCACGAATATGGAAGGTATTTATTCTGGATCCACCGATGAAGAATGAGGTTTCCTATGGAGTTCACCCTTTCGGCCCCATGGGGCTGCGTTCAGTATCCCTTTTTCAGTTCATTGTTGTGTCCTCAACATTTGTGGTTGCTCTGTAGATAAGCTCATGATTTTTTATGAACAGTTCCTGTGGACATGAGATCGCCTAGTACAAGCGTTATACTTTATAGCCTTTGACGAGCCTAAAACTACACATCACCGACATTCGTAATGTATATAGCATACACGTCTCTTTACACGCCACTAACATCCGTCGAATAATTCACCGGCAGCTCGGACCACGCCTAAAATCTGCGGTACATTTGCGTAATGTCTGGCGGCGCCTGCAAAACGCAATCTAGAGGAAACAGAATGCTTTGTACTCTTTTGGAAGTTCTGACTCATTGCTTCAAAGGATTATAAGTCTACTGCGTAGTTTTCTAAAGTTTGTCTGTATGCTGGCATCTTGTTTTTTTCCGACTTGTTTCCGAAAATATGAGCAAAGGAATTTTTCTGGCGCTACCATTTCTATGGTCATTTTGTGGAAAACGGTAGTGTAACTGCAGCGCAATCGAAGCAGTGCATACTACGAATGTCTATCCAATAAAGTCAAGAAGTTAATTCTGGGACCAAACGTAAGGGCTCTCTCAAGACAGTACACCTCACTATCAAGAAAATGTTACAAAAATGGGGCAAGGCAACCAGGTTGTTTCGAGTACCTTTTTTTCCACCCCAATTATAATTCAGGAAGAAAGTTGACGAAATTGTGTGTGAATTATGTTAACCTCGGTGGCTGAGCTTTGTACGAATAAAGTAGATGAGTTTCCGAGAGCACCAAGAACACATTTTACTACTCATGGATATCATGTCTACCTCTGTGATCAAAGCTAGTATCAGTATTGTTAGGTAAAACTCCCAGGAGGACTGCGAATCACTGGGTTAGGGAGTAGTTTACTAGCTAGGTAAGAGCATGCGTTTGCACAAGCCACTTTTTCTAACCAGAAGAATAAGGCGCATGAATACGTTGTCAAATAAATGTAAAAAGGAATTTCCTTGTTAACTGCTTATTATCGATTATCTGGAATGTGAGATTTTTTTATTATAAGATAAAAACACAAAGTAGTGAAACAGTTTGTTGCAATCCGACGTTTCTCAAGAATTTCTACAGTCAGTTCTAGGGATCAGTTGTTGAAGTCCTTGAGAAAGCTTGTTCACCACAACTGAAGCATCGGATTGCATCAGATTATTCCACCAAGATATGCTTTGACTTTATAATAAAGAAATTCATATTATACACCACATGGCACTCAATCTTTTTAGCACTCTTTGAGCCGATTCCGGCCCAGAATTCATAATCGAAAAATGCTTTCTTCCTTGTTTAATACGTCCTTTTAAAAACAGTTCAAGAAAACTTATATGATTATCACGTTGCAATCCGTAGTTATTGGAAAAGCGTTTTTATCTACGGTCAGACCGAACTTATACCGAGTTTGAATAAAAAACGCAAAACAAACGGCATCTGGCAGCTTAATTTGGAGGTTTCAATCACAAAAAGTGAAGGAAACCGAAACATACCTGATTACTCAGGGGCGGTATAAACGATTATAATAGTGATTCATGTATAACCAGACTTTACCTCTCAGCAGTAGGTGTTCACTACAAATCGTATAGTCGTATAGTGACAGTCTGTATCTAAGCTCAATAAATTGCTCTTATTCGTTCCTTTATTTTTCTTACTCATTTTTTACCAATTACCTGTGGGACTACCGCATATCTTCTTGTTCACTTTTTCCGGTTGATATAAACTTTGCTTGCTCTTCCTGATCAACCATAATATCCGCGCGTAAGAGAAACAAATAAGCGCAAATGGACAGACAAATCCTCCGAGGAATAGACAGCTGCTGAATATGATGCTGGAGCGATCGTTGGACAAATAGTCAAATGTGCATCCTGTGAGAAATCCTTCCATCACGTACCGTCCTTTGTGATAGAAGAGGAAAAGATTGCATGAAAGTTGCGAACGGTACCCTAGCAACATTGTTTAGGATGCGGTCTCTAATTACAACCAATTTCCATCTCATGAAAGCCTTAGTCTTACAATGATTATTTACACTAGTTACGCTAAACAATAGGCTAACCATGCTGACGTGGTTATTCACTGTTCAGTTTGAGGAATATCACACTGACCGGAGCCCTTGCAAATAGGAATTGTCTGCAAGATAATTTTTACCAGTCATATCTACCTAATTGTGAAGAAAAGTAGTCGGATTCTGTTTGGTAAAGTATTTTTCAATAACGCGCTGATAGTGAGTTCTCGTTGATGTAGCAAGTAAAGTCAGTTGATGTCAAGCAGTTTGAATGTTTCAATCAAGTATACCAGTAGTTTCAAAGCAACTTTGCACGTCGTATTCGTTGCACTGCAAAGCAAAAAATCAGTTCCTACCATTTACTGCCCTGAGCAATATTTTCCGCAAACTGTAAATACTACGCATGAGTTACTGTTATCAGTGTACGCATTCTTCATGAATCTACAACAAAAACCAAGTCCCAATGAAGATTCGCGGTAGATTACACCTGACTTCACGAATACTGGATAACCATCCAAAGCGTAATTCTTTTCAGAACCTCCGCTTATCTTATATCTTGGATCAAATCTCTAGTCAATGAAAAAGCCGAAAGGAAGGCGGGCCATAAACGCTGAC